CGACCGCCGAGCGGGCGCGCAGGCCTCGGCCGGGCGGCCGCGCATCGTGCGGCCCGGGCCCGGCGGCCCCTAACGCGGGAACGTGGCGCTGGCGGGGCCGCCTCCGCAGCGCTGAAACGGTGAACGGGAGAAACACGCTGTGTTGAGCCCAACCTGTCACGGCCTCAGCAAGAAAACCTGCCAAATGCGCCTGCTACAGCCCTGCAGTTAGGGGGGCTTTGTTACTGCGTGCTTAAATGCTCTTTTATTATCTTTTTAGGGTGCTATAAAAGGAAAGCTGCAGGAGCTGGGGGCTTATGTAGGTAAGTTTTCTCACTTAGCCGTCCTTTTTAGATTCATTATATGGACAGGAAACCACTACCTGGTTGGTGTCGTTCTTTATGTTGACATTAATTTGTTATTAACTGCACTGCAGCTGTGAAGGAACCTCACGCATGCGATGAATTTTCTGAAGTGCTGGGCTGCTCTGAAAGAGAAAAGACTTTTATTCACAAAATACGGATGGTCCAAGTGAAGGAGGAAAAGAGTAGGTGGGCATTGATGATAAACAGGATTAAAGGGAAACAGCCAGGGGAGTTCACAGACTCTTCTTTCAAGGAGAAATGGTGGCAAGGGAATTGGAAAAAAACAAACAGTGAAGTGGCTCAGTGCCTCTAAATGTTACTGCCAATCCTGGTTTCAGCTTCTTAGGCCTTGATTTTTTTCAATGCTTTTCTTCCCCATGTCTTAAAATACTTTATTATCTCTAATGCCAAGGTGCTAGTAAAAAGAATACTTGTAATCTGTGATTCCAGCTGTGACTCCTTCCTCTCCTGTGCTTTAATTTTCTTGGTGTTTCCTGTATTTAGAATGCACTTCCCAAGATCATCCTACAATATCTGTGTTTTCCTCTCAGTGAGCTTTTGAACTTTAAATTTCTCTGTGTTCTTTATCTCTAACTATGACGTTCCATGGCCCCTCACTTTTAACCACTATTCCCAAATTTTTGTCCTCTTTTTACTTTGTTTTTCTCTTGACTGAGGTATTTGGGGCAACTTTTCAGTTAATGTAGTTCAGGGTACCTAGTAGTAGCAGCTAATTCAATATAAAACCCTTAAATACCAACTTTCCTAAAGTCATAACTTGTTAATGCTGGGCTATCAGCAGCTGCATTTCTGATCCTGTTGGGAGACCCAGCCAATGTTAGCAGGCCTGCAATGGCAGCAGATTCTTCAGTGTGTGTGAAATTGTGCTTGTTTTTTAGCTTTCTTTTGTGTTGTTCTTTGGGAGGGTGGTTATTTATTTGCATTTACTTTGCATTTGCCTTGTTTGTGCATTTGTGAAGTTGACTGTCTTTATTCAGCACTTATAACTGAAACTTTTATTGATCCTTGGGGGAAATGGAAGACTTGGTCATTTCTTCATCCTTGTCTACTGAAAAAAAAAAAAGGTGATCGCTTGCTTGAAGTTCTGTTTGGTATATGTTTTATTATACTTTAAAGCAACATATTTTAGTGAGCTTTTTCAAAAGTAATACAGATGCCTGTTTCTCTTTCTATTAGATGAAGAGCTCCCTGATTATATTATGGTTATGGTGGCCAATAAGAAGAGCCAGGAGCAGATGACAGAGGACCTTTCCCTTTTCCTTGGAAACAATACTGTCAGATTTACTGTATGGTATGTTTGTGAGCTCCTTGTCATACTTCTTGCCAATAACCTGATCTGATTTCTATAAATTAAACTTGAGAATGTAAGAAGTTACTTATCCTTTCATTGTTATTTACCTTAATCTTAAAGCTTTCTGCTACGCAGCTCTAATAAATAAATTACTTTTAGTCTGTCAGTAGTTAAGCCTTTGCAGTGGTAATTAACTGATGAAGGATTGGAGGGCTTATATTTTCCTCTGAGATCCAATTGTGTGAAATGCTGAGGTAACTGAGGGCAAAAAAAATAAAAATAAAAAAAAAAAATTGTGCAAAACCCACTGTGAGTGCAGGAATTCACTGCAGTCAAATATTAACTTTTTTTTTTTTTTAACTTAATTGCTTTCTTGCTAATAGTGCTTCAGACTACTCTTTTATATAGGAATAATTATATCGGGACAGATGACCAGTGAATCTAATTGTGTGTATCCGTTTTTGACAAGGCTTAGCACCAGATGCTTAGATATTCCCACCTCTCAGACTGTTTTTGTCACCACCACCCAGCTCTACAAAACTAAACTAGAACTCCAGAATTACTTGGAGGAGGAAAAATTAGCAAAAGATGAATTATTTTCCAGGCTTCTGACAGCAGTGGATTGATTTCTCCTGTGCTACATAAGAGATATAGCTACTGCAGCATTCTCAGGCATTTTCTAATACTGAATTTGCCTTATAGTATTAACCTTTAAGTTACTAGGTTAATAAAGTCTAGATTTTAAAATACTTGAACGGAGTATTCAAACAGATATTAGATCACTCCAGCGTTTTTCTGATTATATTTTTTATATTTTTTTATATTTTTTTATATTTTCTTAAGTTAACCTTATTTCTGAGTTTTTCACATAAGACAGTTTTAAGGAACGTTATTTTGAATTGCATAGATTCAATATATTACATTTTTTTCCCCTAGTTTTTCAGTTTGCCTTCTTTGCAGTTTACTGCTTGGCTATGTTCACTTGTAACATACCTTCTACATAGTTAATCAAGTTCCTTTTAGTTATAAGGAACTTTTGTGCAGTTAAATATCAGAAGAGAAACATTTTAGAAGTTGAATGTTAGTTAAAACATAAAAATTGACAAAAAGTGAAAACAAGTTGTAAATATTACAGTTTGCTATGTTAACTGTTTAAACTGATGTTTTTTTCCTGTGACATTGTTACTTGCATGGACATAAATTTGAGTCTGCTTTCAAAGTTTGATGTTTTTCTTGGCATTTGTCAAAATATAAGAAGGGAGAATGCAATTAACCCTCCTCTCCTTTCTTTTTCATTGAAGTACTCGGGTTTCTGTGTTCTTTGTTCCTGTGGCCTGCCTAATCAAAAATGTGGACATTCACTCTATCAATAAGTCATGGAGTTGTCTTTCTGACTGTGGTTTTGGGAAAGCAGTTGGACAAATGAGTGAGGCTTAATAAGTTGTTAAAGTTACTGCACTGTTAGGATTTCAGCTGAATCCCAGTGCACACTTAAAAATAATAGGAAGAAAAAGATTTTATGGCTTTATAATTAAAAACTAAAACTTTATTAGAAAAAAAGAGAAGAATTTCAACAGGGAAGGGACTGGAAGGGCTTGTTTGTTTGAACTTATAAATGGATATCAGTTATATGTAACAGTTGCATTCCTTGCTTGTTTTGATGTTATCTTTTTAAATTTCCACAATAAGAGTCTTTTAATGTCTCAATTCAATATTCTCATCTGTCGATAAATACAGGTTTAATTGCAGACTGCTCTATCAGACAATGAAATAGGTATTGATTAGAAGGACACTGAGAAAGAAGTCTAGATGACATATTCAGTAAGCTATAAGAGGAGAGGTGAGAATAATGTCACATAGCATTGTAGCTGGGAGTTGTCTTTGTTTTTCTTATTTTAAAGGCAATTCAGGATTTTTATATTTTTAGGCATTGGGTCTGTGGCTAAACTAAATCATCAGCAACGTCTCCTAGCAGAAGTTCCACTGCAGTGGACCCGATACTCCTGCTGGGTGGCCAGCACTTCTTACTCTGAACCAAGTGTCAGGTCACTCATTTCCTTAGCTCAGTGTGGAGAAGTAGCAGTAGCAGTCACGTCAGCAGAATGCAGCTGACAAAGCTTTTAGGAGCTCATTTTGTTTCTAAACTCCATTGTATTATTCAGCCTACACTGTGAACATACTTGAAATTACATTTGGATTTCAACTAGGATGTGCATTTTTTATTTATAGTATTTGTAGATTTGTAAATTGTAGTTTTTTAAACAGTGATATATTGTAACCTTCTGGGTTTTTTTCCAAGAATGTGTATTGCTTCAGCTTGATGCATTTTGTACAGACAAACAACAGATTTACTACTTCTCAAAATGTTGTCTGCTTTCAGCGTATCACAGAGATTTTTTCCTGTGTTCAGAGTTCATTATTCCTGAGTATATTATGTGCCATGAATGTAAATTTGTTATGCTTGAATTTAGAATTATTTTAACTATTTGCTGTAAAACTAAAAGCTTCATATGTG